AGTCGTTTGTCAAAGCGGCGTGAGAGGTGACGGCTCAAGCTGCCGCTATCGTGGCGACGCGGGGGGTGCCGCTGGTGGAGTGTGCGCTTGTCGGCTCGCGCCATTCGTCATTTCCCGCCATTAATGGGACGGCACGCTCGCATCGCGCGAGTTTCCCCGTCGCGTGCGCGTTCCCCCGTCGCGTGCGCGTACGGCAAAAGTTGTCCCTGTTGTTCTGCTGTTACCTTGACCAAGCTTGGCAATTGGTGTATTTATGCAATTTGAACGTCTATATTTGATCTATTTCACGTTTTTTTTTTTTAGTGATTTGCTTGCCTTTTCTATACTTTGCACTCCTATCGGTTTTTTGTACCGTTTGTTGTTGCAACTTTCTGACCCGCCATTAATGGATATCTGTGAAAAAGAGCTTCATAGCTCATCGGATTTCTCCAGGATAAATAAAGATCCTGATTCTGTTCCGTGCCAAAAAATCCAAGTGGTGGAGAAGCGATGGTGGTTAATATCGATTGCAAAACAACAAATGCAACTTTTTTAGAATGTTTACCTGAAGGAGAAAATAGATACGAAACTTTAAAAGACGAAGAAATAATCGTTTGTTTATTTCTTCGGCTGTGGTGGTGTACAGGAACAAACTAAAGGACGATAACTCATCACTTTGTCTATAACTTACGACAGAAAACAACATATAGTAGGCTGACATTTCAGGCAAACGCCCTTCTTCAGAGCAGAAAGAAAAAGTGCAGACAGAGTGAGTGACTTGTTAGTTGGATTACTGAGAGCAACTGTAGAGATTTGTTTTGTTTAAATAAGACATGAACAGTTTTCCATGAGCAGCCATTGATACATATATCATTTTAACATTTTAAATCAGCCTACGACTCAATATTACGAGAGGAGAAAAGAATAGCATGTGGATTCAAAACTTTTCACATGTAAATTTCAAATTTCCAATTGCTTCCCGCAGTGAACTTCACGTCAGGGATCGGTAAAGCATCTGGAAAGATGGCGAGTCAAGGCCCAGTGCAAAGCACGATATATATAATGGTAATGAAAATAATTCCCTTCATTAACCCAGGAGAATCTCGCTGAACGTCAAAACGTTTTTTTTCAAGAGCGACCTACTGCATTCGCAGTTTTAGCCGAGAAGATTGATGAGAGTTTGGGATGAGACTGGAGAAGCCAGAGAAACCCAACACAAACGAGGGGATAACATTGAAATCTCTCCACTGCTGTACTGCCATCTCCTTGTCAATTCGTAACCTAAGCCTACAACACCGAGTACTCGGGGTAATTTGGTCTCAGGAAAAGTGGCATGCGTTCCGGAATCAGAATCTTTATTTATACTGGAGGAATCTGATGAGCGATCAAGCTCTTTTTTCAGAGCGGTTACCCGAGCTCAGGCCGTGGGGGGGGGGGGTAGGCAATGAGACCCGTCGGCTGTCCTTGGCACACGACCCACAAACCTCTACCCTCGCGCTCGTAAAGCCGATCGCGCTCCGCTGACCGAGACGCCACCCCCATTGCTCGCCGGAGTTTCGGTAACGACCATCCGGCAACGTCACTCGGCGCGATCATAGGGTGGGGGGGGTGGGGGGCGGCCATGCGGTGCGTTATCGCAACCACCATCGAGTCGTCGTTGAGGCTTGCGATTCCGGTCCCCCAGACCATCGCGCGCCACGTGCGTGCGTGCGTGGCGTGCGCGAGGGCAAGCGAGTGTGTGGGTGCGCGCGCACGTCCGTGTGAAGCGTTATTACGCTACCTCCCGCTGCAGCGTTGGGAATTTAAATGGACGTGTTTGTTCCAGTTTATCTAAAATACAACAGCTGTAACCGATTAAACCCCCCAATACTTTTTTTACAGCAAACAATTCCGTCGTCCCTGTACGACACGATCAGACTTCAGTAAAGCACTTCGGGCAAATGTAATTTAAGCGAATTTACATTTTAATGGGTTTCATGCAATATTCTTGAACCAGGATGACCCTAACATGGCTCATAAGGGCTAAATTATTAAAGGGCGTCGTGCTTCCGGAGAAAGGTCTCGGGAAGTGCAAAGGCAGGGCAACCGCGTGTTGTGTTTTTATGTTAATTCGCCCGCGTGGCTCCTCGCGATTGATTGTCAGGAGGCACTGGCGGCGTCTGCAATGCAAGCGCAACTGGAAACGCGCCGTGTTGCATTATCAATAGCCGCTGGAACGCCGTGAGACCCGAAATTGAATAACAGATAAGTTTTATCCCGGCCGGGTGGCTCCGGGGCTGGAGTGTGCGTCACGTACGTGCTCGGAAGGTCACGTTTTGAAATCCTCGTGGGGAGAAGACTCTACGGTTGCAATGCGACTTAAAAAACTAAATTATTTGTATATTATTATTATTATATTTGTGAGGAGGCCAACAGTGGTCATCCTATGAATGTATTTAGAACGTCTTGCCCACCGTACGTAGCCAACGGTGCTCAACACAGAAAGCAGTTCTCTACGGAGAAGCTTGACCCCATCAAAGGAATGTGGAATCGCAGCAATGGCTGAGCGTCATCATTCACGACGGAGATGTTTCCACTGATGGGCTGCATGAGGGGGAGACGCAGTGAGTTGGGGGCCTGCAGCGACTCACCGATACGCACTTCGAATCCCTGCGCATGAGAATCGATTAACTCCAATTTGTGCAAATTACACACGAATGGTTATTCTCAAAGTTGAACTTAGGCTATAGCTTGGAACAAAACTGGACAATGAGAAAAAAGTGACACGCGCTATAGAGGAGTTGGTACAAATGAGATAAAAATGAGATAAAAAAAGAAAACCGTTACGTCGAAATCATGAAGATTCATCAAATTCATCGCCTACCCTTTTTTGGCCCCTCTCTCCCGATACTTTCCATTCATTGGCTACCACATTCTGATGAGCCCCCCCCCTCTCCTCCCCCCTCAACTCGCTTTTAAGGGATTACATCTTGAATCATTGCCTCACTTGATGCAGCTGATCTGGCTGTGACTGTCCCACCTGATGACGGAGACTTGTGTTGCCTCCGAAACGTCGTGATCTTTATTTTATTTTATTATTTTTATTAATTTTGATGTTTTACCTACGTGACTTTACCGAAAACACCTAAGAATATGATTCCTTGCAGTCACGAAAGCTTCAAGTCTAGAATTAAGATTCATCAAACCGCTGGGGGAGGGGGGGTGAAGCGTAGTGCACACGGTGAGCTTTCCGGCTGTGCATGGGTGTAGCGGGTGTGAGAGACGTGGGTGGGTGTAGTGGGTGTGAGAGGCGTGGGTGGGTGTGGTGGGTGTGAGAGACGTGGGCGGGTGTGGTGGGTGTGAGAGACGTGGGTGGGTGTGGTGGGTGTGAGAGACGTGGGTGGGTGTAGCGGGTGTGAGAGACGTGGGTGGGTGTAGTGGGTGTGAGAGGCGTGGGTGGGTGTGGTGGGTGTGAGAGACGTGGGTGGGTGTGGTGGGTGTGAGAGACGTGGGTGGGTGTGGTGGGTGTGAGAGACGTGGGTGGGTGTGGTGGGGGTGAGAGGTGTGGGTGGGTGTGGTGGGTGTGAGAGGCGTGGGTGGGTGTGGTGGGTGTGAGAGATGTGGGTAGGTGTGTTCAGTGTGAGAGACGTGGGTGGGTGTAGTGGGTGTGAGAAATGTGGGTGGGTGTGGTGGGTGTGAGAGGCGTGGGTGGGTGTGGTGGGTGTGAGAGACGTGGGTGGGTGTGGTGGGTGTGAGAGACGTGGGTGGGTGTGGTGGGTGTGAGAGACGTGGGTGGGTGTGGTGGGTGTGAGTGACGTGGGTGGGTGTGGTGGGTGTGAGAGACGTGGGTGGGTGTGGTGGGTGTGAGTGACGTGGGTGGGTGTGGTGGGTGTGAGAGGCGTGGGTGGGTGTGGTGGGTGTGAGAGGCGTGGGTGGGTGTGGTGGGTGTGAGAGGCGTGGGTGGGTGTGGTGGGTGTGAGAGACGTGGGTGGGTGTGGTGGGTGTGAGAGATGTGGGTGGGTGTGGTGGGTGTGAGAGATGTGGGTAGGTGTGGTCGGTGTGAGAGACGTGGGTGGGTGTGGTGGGTGTGAGAGACGTGGGTGGGTGTGGTGGGTGTGAGAGGCGTGGGTGGGTGTGGTGGGTGTGAGAGACGTGGGTGGGTGTGGTCAGTGTGAGTGACGTGGGTGGGTGTGGTGGGTGTGAGAGGCGTGGGTGGGTGTGGTGGGTGTGAGAGGCGTGGGTGGGTGTGGTGGGTGTGAGAGGCGTGGGTGGGTGTGGTGGGTGTGAGATACGTGGGTGGGTGTGGTGGGTGTGAGAGGCGTGGGTGGGTGTGGTGGGTGTGAGAGACGTGGGTGTAGTGGGTGTGAGAGACGTGGGTGGGTGTGGTGGGTGTGAGAGACGTGGGTGGGTGTAGTGGGTGTGAGAGGCGTGGGTGGGTGTGGTGGGTGTGAGAGACGTGGGTGTAGTGGGTGTGAGAGGCGTGGGTGTGGTGGGTGTGAGAGACGTGGGTGGGTGTGGTGGGTGTGAGAGACGTGGGTGGGTGTAGCGGGTGTGAGAGGCGTGGGTGGGTGTGGTGGGTGTGAGAGACGTGGGTGGGTGTGGTGGGTGTGAGAGGCGTGGGTGGGTGTGGTGGGTGTGAGAGACGTGGGTGTAGTGGGTGTGAGAGACGTGGGTGGGTGTGGTGGGTGTGAGAGACGTGGGTGGGTGTAGTGGGTGTGAGAGGCGTGGGTGGGTGTGGTGGGTGTGAGAGACGTGGGTGTAGTGGGTGTGAGAGACGTGGGTGGGTGTGGTGGGTGTGAGAGACGTGGGTGGGTGTGGTGGGTGTGAGAGACGTGGGTGTAGTGGGTGTGAGAGACGTGGGTGGGTGTGGTGGGTGTGAGAGACGTGGGTGGGTGTGGTGGGTGTGAGAGACGTGGGTGGGTGTGGTGGGTGTGAGAGACGTGGGTGGGTGTGGTGGGTGTGAGAGACGTGGGTGGGTGTGGTCGGTGTGAGTGACCTGGGTGGGTGGAGCAAGGCGGTGTGGGTGAGTGGTCTGCCCTGACCTGTGGCTGCCGGGACGACGTTGCATGTCTTGCCGGAGAGAGCAGTCGCCCGTTTCCTGTTCACCGCCGCCTCCCGCTGCCGCCGCGTTCTCCACCAGCTCCGCAAAAGGAAGAGGCCACGCTTCTGCACGAAGCTCCTGGCACAGCACCAGGGATAGAGACAAACTGCAACCACCACAGCCTTCACCGCTGCCACCAAAGACAAAGATCCCCCGTATAGCCTTCACAGACTTTGTGGAAAGTGCTGTTAGCGAGCACCTACGGAAGCCGCTAAAGTAAATGAGGGGGTGACGACGTTTACACGCTGCACCAGGTACTCATTTTAGGCTGAGTCGACCTAGGGGAGGCCCAGGACCGGTTCAGATATTCGTCACTGGTGTTGGTCGTGAATGGTAATCGAACTCCGGTCGCCGGGTTCATAGCTCAGCGTGCTAAAAGGTACACTACCGCTCTCCACAACCACTATCACTGCCACCACCACTACTATCACCACCACCGCCAACACCACCGCCACAACTGCCACCACCACTGCCACCATCCCCAGCGCAACCAATACCATCACCACCATCATCATTATCACCACCATCACTGCGCTATCTCCACTACCACCTCCATCACTATCACTACAAATAATGCAGTGATCGGTGATAGAGCTCAGACCACCAACTCACGACACCTGAGAACCTGGTTTCAATCATCAGTGGCTGAAATCTGGATTTGAACGCTGGATCTCAGCAATTCCTGTTCATTGCTTCGACCTGGTGTTAGCCCCTGAAGCACCTGGCCACCTCACTGCTGGAGAGCAATAAGATCCTCATCCTGATCCGCGCGACACGGGGAGGCCCTCATCTGGCAGTGGATCAACAAAAGGGCCGCCCGCACAAGTTTACGAACAGCGAAAAAGATAGGGGGCGAGTGAGGGCGTTCATCGGCACAATTATCATCGCCTTCATTCATCCACCACTACCACCACCTTTGTCACCCTCATCTTCACTGGTGTCATTATCTCACTGCATATAGATTTATTTAACAGAGTTGCGTGCTTTTACAACCTCACGATAAGCCACTCGGAATGCGGGCCTCAGTCAGGATGTAGATGTGTGTGAACTAGCGAACTCGCAAACTAGCGAGCGTTTATCTTCTTCAGCGTCTCTGGCGGGTTTATTTATTTAATACATTATGCCACGTATCGGCGTGAGCGCCAAGGACACAGCCCCTGGCGAGCGTGTGGGCTGCTTGTTTTTATATTTGAATTGAGCGTAATAACGTGATCCTGCACGGGTTGGGAGGACGACTCCAGATTAGGCACGAAAAGGCTCGCCTGGTTTTCACTTCGACTTTGACAAATTATCTTAACTTTTTCCGCGGCGTTCGGCTGACAGCCAGAGACGATCTGGCTCTGCGGCTCGAGGCCACAGCGGCCACGGCAACTCTTTGTTTATTTTCTCGTTTCGTTTTGTTGGTCGCCCGACTAACAAAACCCTTCCCCTAGTTACACACTCGGGAATTTTGGCGCCTCGCATTCTTTGTTGTTGTTGAACTTGTAGGCCTCCCCTTGGCTGACGGCCGGTCGAACGGATCTCGATCGTTGGGTGGCGACGGACGTTGCCGTCGAGGCAAATGGCGCGCGCGTGGCCCAAGGTCCCCCTCAGGTCGTGACGCGACGGACGCGTTTAATTGCGAGGAGGCAGACGTTCAAGGAGGTTGGACAAAGCAGGGCAAAGGAGGGAATGATGGGCGATCGTGACAGAAGGAGGGGCCCCCTTTGCCGGCTGGATGCTGTGCGCTCCAATAAAATTGACACGCAATACAATCCCATTACCGATCCCCGGAGGAATGTTACGGAGGGCGTTAATTAAACATGCGCCTGCCATTACACAAAGTGGTAAATTAAATTAGGGAGCTTGAATGACACACCAAGAGGCAGCGGTGAGTGGGCGTGTAACGACGTAGCATCAATGCATCGATCAGACTCGAGCCTTACTTCTCTTTGTCCGAGAGAGGCTTCGCTTGCATCGGCCAAAGATCGGCCACCTGGCTGGAGGCATCTTCGGACGCCTGCCTCTCGGGGCTTGATCGCAGCTGCCCCGGGCATAGATGGTGACAGAACAATTATTCAATTGTTAAACATTACGTAAAAAATCCCCCCCCCAAGTTTAATCTAATTGTGACATTGGCATTATGTACTGACATGTCAGAAATATCAGTTCGGAACTCAGAGTAGTGCATCGCACAATGCTATAGAATGACCAGTGGAAGGCGACATCACGGAACTATTTCTGAAATCTCTTCAAGTGAACAAAAAATATTGGTGACCAAGCTGAGACCAAAAATTCACTACACCTGAGAACCCAGTTCAACCACAGGAGTCTAGAACAGGGTCTTAGCAGTGCCAGCTTGGTTGTATGACTCCAGAGACCCTCGGCTACCCATTTTAAACATAAATGTAAAAAAATGTACACACTTGTAGTGACACCAACGCACGTGGGTATTGCGCGAAGCTTTCAGTGCGACGCAATGCCCTCTCTGGTCTGGATATATCTCTTTTAAAATCGTTCGTCAGTCAGTCATGCCAGGTGCTGGTCGCTTTACCGAAAAGATAAAGACGATAAGATCTCTTTGGTTTTTTTCCCCCACGCCCGATCTGCGGTCGCTTCAATTAGCAACGCACCTGCCGCGGGAGTGCGGCAGCGCGGACAAATCACGTGGCGGACAGCGCTCCTGGACCACGGTCATCGATCGCAATGCTCACTTTCGAGAGGGAGCTGACGAGACTATAGGGGGCAGCCCGATTGCACCCCGAGAGATTTCCTTTACAAAAAATAATACATAAACGTTCGCTTGTCCCCCCACAACAATCACATTTAAATTGTGTTCATCTTCTTGGTTCTTTCGGTAAAGTCACGTAGAAGGGAAGTAATAAAATAATAAAAATAAAACATAATAAAACAATTCTCACGACGTTTCGGCCACAACGCAAGCAGCCGTCCTCAGGTGAAAACCAGGTCCGTCGAGGCGACAGAGTCTGAATGAAACAGCACACGAGCTTGGAGCATATATATAAGCTGGGCGCATTGACAAAGGAATTTGCATATCAAAAGGAATTTAGCATATTTATGGGAAATGCAGGAATGTGATTAGTACTGCATATGCATGTGCATTATGCAGGATTAACAGCATCAAAGGGAGCTGCAGTTACTGCTGCTGCAGCAGTTGCTGCTGCTGCTGCAGTTTCTGCTGCTGCTGCTGCTGCACTTGCTGCTGCTGCTGCACTTGCTGCTGCTGCTGCACTTGCTTCCTTCTACGTGACTTTACCGAAAGAACCAAGAAGATGAATCCCTGCAGTCACGAAAGCTTTAAATCGAAATTTAAATTGTGTTATCAAAGCCATGTTTTTGAGAGACACACTCAGAGGGAGTAAAATGGCCCAGGAAGCTGTTATCGTGGAAAAACTTCTGAAGTCACTTCATTATGATAATATATAATAGGCGACAATTTAGGCAATGTCTCTTCTTGTTAGCACATAAATAAAGAGGCCAACAAGAGATATGGAGTGGATAAGAAAAGTTGGAGACTGCAATTGTTTACACCATGGGGCCTGATGAGAATTAAGCCTTTTCTTTTTCTGATGACCATTTTTGGATAGGCACATGAATGGTTATCTCATAGTAACTATTGAGTTCCAGAAAAACCCTACAATAATAAAAAAGTTAATGAAAGTGTATCAGCAAGGCATTATATATCTTTCAGCAGCATTGGGTCAAACTCTTGAGCGGTTGTGACATGCAGTGTCTCACGGGCAGAGTCGGGCTTGCTCAAACCAATGCTGGTGAATTGCCATTTTAATACCGGGCGGGAGAGCTCAATGGAGACTATACATTAATATATTTATCGTAATTGTTTGGCCATGGCTCCACCCACCAGCTTCTTGAGCCTGTGCTTGGCCTTGCGCTGGTGGGCCCTGCCGTGGCCCAGCCGCCCGGCTTGACATGCCCGCTGGCTCCTCCCGCCGATGACGTTGCGGCAGTTTGGGGAACCGCACAGGCAGGGCCGCTGTGGGGACAAATAACGGGGCCCGGCGTCATTACCGAACGTTATTTTTTAAAGCACAATAATTGTAAAAAAAAAAAATTCTACATTCATATTTCCGATGCACGGTTCACTCCAACAATCACCACACCGGCCAGCGTTTCAGATTTGTGGAGAGTACTATCGCCGCCCGAAACCTTTGCATTGCATGAGGAGTCAGCGTTAAGCGCGATGACATCATCACGGCATTACTCAGCCCTATGTATAGGGAGACGTCACTGCGTCTAAACCATATGCATGGCTTCAGGGACAATGACATCATGTTCAAACGTTGGCTTTAAACATTAATCAATTGTGGAACCCATCTTCCGGAAGAATCTACCCATGGAACGCGAGTCACACTTCTGTTAGATTTCGGTTTGTATTCAACGTTGATTTTTGACGTTTGAGGGCCAAAATGTTGTTACTTGAGGAAGGGCGGCAATCTTTCGTAAATATCCTTGGCAAGAGATGCATTGTTGGTGTTGTGCGTGGTTTCCTTCAACGCGCCGTGTGGGATCTACAGCACGTGATGGACAGCACCTTGTATGTTTTATATATATACACACACAGCTAACAGATAAGAGCAAAATTAATTAATCAATATTATATTCTTGGTTCTTTCGGTAAAGTCATGTAGAAGGGAAATAATAAAATAATAAAAATATATTTTTTATATTTGTATTAGTTTATTATTTCCCTTTTACGTGATATAGTTTAATATTTGTATTATTTTATTATTTCCCTTCAATGTGACTTTACCGAAAGAACCAAGAATATGAATCCCTGCAGTCACGAAAGCTTTAAATTAAAATTTGAATCCATATTAATTAAGTAGAATACATGCGTTGAATAATGCACCTCAACAGCGATTATTTACGACGTGGATACGTTTACCGAGAGTTGTCGGGCCTGTAAGTTACTGAGATTAATACCAATATGAATATACGATTTGGAAATGTTGGCATCTTTAATTTAATCTCCCGTGGGGGGCAGGAGGGGGGTGATACAATTAGTTATCACTTTATGGGAAATAAACAACTGTTTGTTTATTTAGGGGTGAATTCTGGCGCCCGCTGCAGAAATGTGGATTTTTTCCCACTGGTTCGAGGCTGCCAACACAAATGAGCGCCACTCCATGAACGTGGAGACACTTTGGGCCCTGTTCACATCTCGACAAAACGCTCATTTCTTTTCCTTATTTTTTTTTTGGCAACAACGGCAACAAAAAAAATTGGCGTGGCGTCTCCGCTACCCCAAAAAAATGCAGCAAAACGCCAAGCTGACTTATTCTTGGCCATTCCAGTTTTGGCCCGACATGGGGTTTTGACGAACAAATATAAAAAATAAAATACGGGGGGGTTAATTCGAATGCAGCACCTGGCTTTCTGCGGTAAAGGTGTGGAAGTTGTAGTCGTAGGTCAGCTCCGTGCTGATTGGAATGTCCTTGAGTGCGAAGAGCCCAATGCGATAGATTCCATTGACCGACCTGCAGCCGGCACCGTCCCGCATTCGCAACAGCAGCCAGCCGTGCATTATTGCGCACGCCAATGAAGATAAATACAAAGATCCCCCGATAGCCTTCACAGCCTGTTGGGGAAAGTGCTGTTAGCAGGCACCTATGAAGGACCGCACGGCACACGAGGGGTCGGTTGGCCAGCACCACGCCGGCCACCTATGTCCCCCCAGTGGCGATGTTTACACATCGCACCAGGCACCCATTTTGGGCTGAGTCGGCCTAGGGGAGGCCCAGAACCGGTTCAGATAATCGTCATTGGAGTTGGCCGTGAGTGGGAATTGAACCCGGGTCGCCTGGTGCACTACTGCCAATACACGCCTACACACGCACACAAAGGCCTTTAGACTGTTGGGGCAAGTGCAGTTATTGACCACGCATTTAGGCCGGCACGGCACCCAAGGGGAGTGGTGTGGCCGGCACCACTCCCGGCCACCTCTGTCTGATGTTCACGCACGGCGCTAAGAACTCGTTAAAGGCTGAGTCGACCGACAGGAAGCCCAGCACAAGTTCACGATGACTCGGTGCGCGAGAGGGAGGTCCAGGCAGCACCCGGCCACCTTTGTCTCCCCCAGCACTGACATGTACGCACTGTGCACCTTAACGTGCATAAGTGTGGCCTGAGTCGTGTCCACGGGGGGGAGGGGGGTGGGGGGGGCGTGAGTCATTTCAATCAATCAGTCAATTAAGTTGTTAATTTACAGCCGTCGGCAGCCTGCGGTACCATCACTTCATCACACGGCATGGATTACCAACACCAATCGGCAGAAACGAAACCGCGGGGTCATACAGAGGTGACGGCAGATGGAGAGCCACCGCATTGTGGAGCCCCAACAGTGGCAGTGTCATCGACAAAGACGGGTCAATGCCATAAAAATGTGGAATTTCTGCCAAAGGCTCAGGACCACCATGAGGGATGAGCCAGTTGATTTGAGCATGGGTTTGCTGCCTTATTTAGACTTTGCAAAGAACACTGGCGACGTTATGATTCTATGCACACGTATGCGTTCACAATCGCACAGAAGACTAATGTCCTCGATATGTACTTTAAAAGCTAGTGGGGTTAGCGAGCACCTATTAAGACCGGCAGGAGGCACGAGAGAATGGTGTGGCCACCGCCCACACCTATCCACCTTTGCCTCCGTAGTGCTGATGTTTTACACAGCTCACCAGGTACTCATCTAAGGGTGAGGCTCAGCACCGGTTCAAATGTTTGCCACCGTTTTTGGTCGACAGCAGGGCTCGTAGCGCAGTGCGTTAACCATTGCGCCGCCGCTCCCCACACACACACACACGCTCACACGCTCGCGCTGACACACCGACACGCGCGCACACGTGGGACACGCACCACTTCTGCATCTCGCAGTTGGGCTGGCAGCTGTGGTTGATGAAGCGTGCCTCGTTGCCCATGCGGTAGCTGTCGATGACGACGCCGCTGTCGAGCTGCACGCAGTACATGCCGGCCTGCTCGCCGCGCTGCGCCAACATGCGGCTCCTGGGTGCGAAAAACATGAAGACAAACGTCACCCCCCCCGTGTAGCCTTTAACAGACTGTTGGGGCAAGTGCTGTTCGCGAATAGCACCTAAGCAGGCCGGCATGGCACACGAGGGGGCGGGTGGCCAGGACCATGCCCGGCCGCTTTTGTCTCCCCAGTGCTGATGTTTCACACACCGCAGCAGGTATTCATTTAAGGCTGAGTCAACCTCGGAGAAGCCCAGGCACGATTCAAATATTCGCCACTGTTATTGTTCGTGGGCGGGAATTGAACTCGGGTTGTACCGCTGTGTGCTACCCACTGCACTACCGCTCCCTGGGTTCAGACTCAGACACACATGTGCACACGAGACAAATATTACCGATGTAGCCTATATAGGCATGAGGGGGTGTGGTCGTCACCACGCCGACCTTTATCTCCCCAAGGCCTGACGATGTTTACACACCGCAACAGGTCACTCATAATAGGGCCTCGTGTGACCTAGCGAAGGTCCTGGACGAGGTTCACATTTTGAACACCGAAGTTGGCCGCAGCTAGGAATCCAACTCGGGCCGCCGGGGTTCGTAACCCAGGGCGCGAGCCTCTGCGCCAAACACCGCGCTGCGTGTCCCAACTAAAACGTGTGACAGGTGCGCGCGGCGGCCCTCACCGAAAATTGGCTTCGCTAAGCACCTCGCCCAGGTACTCGATGATGAGGTCGTTGGCCTGGAAGTGGTGCGTGGTGCGCACGCCCCAGCCGCGATCCGTCGTGCGGAACCGCTCCAGTCCGGCCGAGCGCTCCTGCCGCTGGAATCGTCGGTTCGTGCAGAGCTCCCCGCATGGGCAGCTCGACTGCACGCACTCTGCGTACACCAGCCTGGATGGAGGAGGAGGGGGGGGGGGGGGGACGGGTGGGGGCAGGGTTGGGGCGGGGGGGAGGCGATGTGTGGATGGGACCGGGGACGTTGCGTGACGTGGCAAGAGCAGAAGAGTGGCCAGATGGCAGCAGAGGGTAGAGTTAGGGACTATAATCGTGATCGGACAACATCATGATTGACGTCACCATCGTTGTCGTCGTCAGTGCTGTCATCATCATCATTATTGTTGCCGTTGTTTGTCGATAATTAGGAAAGAGCACAGTTGTCAGCGACCCAAATAAAATAGCGCAAGTAATTTAAAGTATATTGGACTCACTCATTTTATTTGCATTGTTGCCACAAACAGTGACTTGGGGAGGCGAACTGTTCTGCCAAAGTGAGCTGCTCTGAGTGAAAAAGACCAAAGTCAACTCTTCAACAGCCATCCCCTTGGGTTTGTTTTATTTAGTTTTAATTTTTTTCGATGTGATCTTTACACTGGTCACCTGAGCATAGTTAAGGTCAACGAAACAACAGTGTCGAGTTTACACCAAACGCAGAAGCCGCGAGGCCCGTTTGGGGTCGATTTCCAAAGCCAATGACGCGCGGAGCGTGCTGCTTGCGTGCGGCGTAAATCCGACTGGTCTCCAGCCAACGTGTGTTCTTCTCACAACAGCTGTCAAAGGCGAATTCGTGCTCAGCACCGCACCTGTTAAGGCAGCCCTCCGTGCATGCCGAATCTTCCGTCTCCTCGGGCCTCTTGCAGCTGCAGGAGACCGGTTCGCACCCCGACAAAGGCTTCATGTCCACAAACACATCTGCCACGGGAAACGCCACACGGAGAACATCGATCCCCGCAAACCACGACGGGGATATCCAACCGCAATGGTTCTGTGTTCAAAGCTGTCTGATTCCGGAATATGACGAGCACGCTTCACAGAGAACTGAGATTGATTCGGCTGCATTGGCCTGGAGCCACTTGTGCAAGAAGAAAATAACTCTTGTCTTAGGAAAGGAAAAGACAACCCAAAAACCAAACTGCCTCTTATCTTGTAGACAAGCAACTTCGGTTTTGTGCATTGTACTCCGGGATGAGTTTGAAGTTTTGTCAATAAGCAAAAAAACCCTTTAAATTGACTTTCAGGCACACCGCAGTGAAGCGCTGCAATGACATCACCGCAAGCACGACTGCCGTATGGTTTACTGCAGCGTCACCGAAATCTTGTGTGGGATGGTCCGCGACAGAGCCATTCAACAATTTCGCTCAGGCTGCGTTGATGCGACTTAGATTCCATTCTGCCAGAGGAGAGGCAGGCGAGTGATTGGGAGCACACGCGTGCGTGTGCCTTTCAGCACTGGGAAAAATCTTCCATCAAAGTAAAGTGCCCGATGTAAATAGATTCAATTACCAGATTAAACTGTGTGCCCGTACGGCAAGGCATTTCGAGCGTACAAACAAAAAAGAAAAAAAACTACCTCAATACAACTTTCCACAATGGAAAATGAAAAAAACACAGAAAATAAATTCCCAGTTTGGTACTGGTCAGACTTTGGGGGTTAATTAAAATCGCACTGAAATGTTATGGCATTGCATCAGTTGAGATTGTTTGGCCCCATTTTCAATTTAAACTGCAATTACTTTCGGAAACAATTCACGATTGCCCAAAATAACAGTTGCTTTTCAAAATGTAATGTCACGTCACTAATTGCTTTTTCGCGTTTAGTCTAAGAACACGCCAATGCCCCCCCCCACCACCACCACCACCCTCCTCATCCCATAAACTCCCCCTACCCCCACCGCCGTTCCCCGAAGGCTGTGACAGCCAAACAATCCACCCGTCACTCCTCGGGCGCGCCGTGCGTAGGACCGGGCCCTGCTCCACTCACTCGATCGGATTTTCTTGTAGAGCGGCACGTCGGGCTTTTTCAGCAGCTGCAAATTAAAGACAACAAAGGAAGAGACAGAGATCGCCCCTCGTAGCCTTAACAGCCTGTTGGGGCAAGTGCTGTCAGTATGCATCTATGAAGGACCGCACAGCACACGAGGGTTTGGTTGGCCAGCACCACGCCTGGCCGCCTTTGTCTCCAGAGTGACGATGTTTACACACCGCACCAGATACTCATTTGAGGCTAAGTCGATCTAGGGAAGGCCCAGGACCGGTTCAGATAATCGTCACTGGTGTTGGTGGCGGTGAGCGGGAATCAAACTCGGGTGACTATTAGTAATAGGCTCGTAGGGATTCAGCGCCCCCAGTGAATGCTTTTGATGAGTTGTCACAATTCCATACTTGCAATTTGTTAATATTTTCTCTTTTTTTATCAAAATTTCACCGTATTTTTATGACTTTCTCGTTTTTTTTGTCTCGTTTGTACAGTTTTTAATAGCGCCATTAGCTTCAAATATCCGCGTATCGTTTATTTTGAATTGTAAATAAGCAATTCGTACAGACACGATTCGTCGCGTGGATCGTGAGCGTAGGGATTGATCTTAAGCGACGAATCGAGTTTTTTGTTGTTGTTACGTTCAAATCTGCCGCTGTTAAATCAACACGCCTGAATTCATGCGATTTCAGTTTTGAACAGACGCTGAATAAATGCTTTCTCCATATTACAAAACATCGGCGAATCAGTTTGACAAAAAGTATTGGGCGGAGACGAGCAAACTGAACAACACGGGGTGGAGTGGTGGCACAGTGGTTAGCGCACCTCGCGACTGATCCTGGTGACACGAGTTCGATTCACTTCTGCGATGGGTGACATGCAAGCCGGTCCTGGGCCCCCTCTTTCTTCAACAACTTGCAATTAACCAGCATGGCGAAGTATGGTCAAACAAACCCCATGACCCAACATAACATAGGGTAGAATCTCCACCCAGTGGTATATTGATAAAGGGCTGTAACTTATTACACACTTGTATCATTATTATACAGTGGAACATATATACTGTGTGCATATATTACATGGCATTCTACATTATGAACTGTGTTGCTTCTTCAATATATTTTTCCCAGCCGCCACAGCCCACCTTCATCGTCTCCCGTCTCATTCCATCAAACTCTACCAAAACACGCCGGCCGGCAGAGCCTCACGGATGTCTCGTGGCCGAGGTTGCCGTGGCAAGTCCCGCCACATTCAAGTGAAACCAGAACCTCTTTAAAAAAAAATCCAACAAAATCATTCGGCTGGTCCGACCGCCATGAGACGCCATAAAACCGGGCGCTATTACGGCCGATGCTGAGCATTACATGGCAATTAAGAGGGTGTAATGATTCTCGTGGTGGCAAGACAGAGCCTCGCTCAGCTTGCACCTGCTCGGGCTTAGCGGGAACCGTAAGGTCATCGTCGTTACGGACGATGTTAGCGTGCGCGCGATCTCAAGGATCTCATCCCGCTTGGCGCGAGGGCGCACGTGCGCGTTTGAGATTTACGTCCAAAAAAACAGCCGAGTCAGCGGGCGTTCCCGACGACGCGACACCGCGCGCTGCCACGTCGTCGGATGATCAAGCGCTCGTCAATCATGGGCAGGCGCAGAGCGTGGTGCGTTTTAAACACATATGCATGAAAGGAAAACGTGCAGCACTGCTGGAGGAAGGCCCTCACCAGCGGGAGCAAGACCAACTCTTTCACGCTGACTGACCAGGCGTCTTGCAAGGTGGGGGATACCCACACTTTATCCCACCACATGCTGCCGCCTGCCAATTTACTAAGCTGTGCTGTACCCATTTATACTGCCGGTTGAACCAAGGCGTGGGGGGGGGGGGTATTCATGAACTTCCCCACTTTCAACTGGATTACAAGTCCAATGTGCTAACCATGACATCACGTAACACACACATACACATATAAATCCAAAAGCTATGACCGTATGCTCCGTATTATAACATGCACTTTTCCCCCCTGCGTTTTAAAGCAAAGTTTTAGGAGTGCATCTTGCAATGCGGTAGGCGTGTGTCTGTGTGTGCGCGTGTGCGTGTTTGTGACAACTTTATTGACCCCAGGTACGCATGAGTGTTCCAGTGCACCTTACTCTCCGCAACATATTGTGATCCGGACAGCACGACAAATCATTTATTTGAACGCCGCTAAACAAGAATGTTTATTTCTGCGTACGTTGTTGCGATCAAAAACGCAACTCGCGGAGCATCGCGCGGTGCGTGCGTAGCGTCACATGGACCTCTACTTACACTTACAACCAACACGGTTTCTCCGGCAAAATAGGCAAGTTAGGGGGGGTGGGGGGGGGTTGCAGGGGTTTGGAACGACTTATAAAAAGAAGCGGCGTTGGTTCTGGAAAGCTTCACAGAAGGGCCGGGCCGCGCCGCCAGATGGAAAATGTGAATCACGCGAGAAACTGTCTGCGTCGCGCTGCCAAAAAAACAGCAGGCGAAACAAACGTCGTCTCTACAAGGGCACCGGCGCGGCGTGACGCGACCTCCGCGGAGCCGGCGCAGGGGTCACGCTCCGCAAAGAATTGTCCTGTGGAAATAACTCGTAATCCTAATCATAACATTTCTTTTAAACCGTCTGCCTTTAAATAATTAACCAGGTCACCTGGAATGACACCGCGGGCTAAACGGGCGAGCGATTTACGTTCCGCGCACTGAGCCCCGGCCAAAACATTAGGCGGGAGTTTATTTTTCAAAGCCTTGATATGTTTTTTTGTACGTACAATACACGCACAACGTGCAACCCATCATCAATCCGCTGCTAGACGGAGGCCTCCCCATTGATGACCGGTGTAGAATTGTTTAGAAGGAAACCCAAAAAGGCAGTTCAGATAGCACTCACTACTTCTGCTGTTGGCCTTGGCCAGGATGATGTTAGTGCGTTAACTGTTGGCCACGGCTGTACGTATCTTTATTTCAAGCCAAAATCTTTCAAGCCTGATCCCCGTATTGGAGGATGTTAGCTTGTGTTAAAACTTTTTTGGCAAAAACATCCAGTACTGATTTCACCATCAATAAGTGGGGGGAAAGTCTCCAAAGAGATGCGTTTCAGTCATTTCGCAAATATGCGAGTCTGGAACAAAGTGTCAACCTACGGTGGCTTTGAGCCAGTGGTGAAATTCCACATTCCTATGGCGCGGGCCAGTCTCTCCGTGGAACTGTAACTCTTGACATTTTTAAGGACGCACACGTCAACATGTATTCAGGCAACTCAGTTTAACGGCCGAACACGCTGGACTTGCGGACGGCCAATTGTGTTCCATGCACGAAAATTCAAAACGCGTCTGCGCGTCACGTACGCGCGCTGACCTTCTTTCGCGCCGTACATAGCCAAGCGGAGCCGCGCGCGAATCAAACGGCGTATGCATTTGGTGGCACGAGTGGTGAACGCATCGCCGCCACCCCACGCGCGCGTGGCACGCCGATCCGCGTCTCGCCCTGCCGGGGGGGGGGGGGGGGGGCCTCACCTGATCGTGTTTCCACTGCCAATCGGTGTCGTAGGGGAGCTGGAAGTCGATGCGCTTCTGCCGAAGGTATTTCCCTGCAGGTGGTCGGGGCGACACGAGCACACGCGACGCATTCAAACGTTGCGCTGGGTGCCCACTTATCGGCGCTCGGGCCCCCCAACAGTCTGCACGGCGAGAGGCGAGACTCTTTGTCTCGCTGTAGACATTAAGTACGTTTATGTGTGCCCAGTGGCATCCCGTCCTTCCTGCTGCGAGGGGCAGCTGGGGGGGGGGGGCAAGCTACCTCTCCTCTAGCAATCAACGGGAGGGTGGGGGAGCGACGCTCACACCAATGAGCGGATTTCTGGGTGGTTAAACTACAGCAAGGTGGTTCGGTGAGGAGCACCGGCGGTTTTTTTCATGCTTATATACGTGGGGAATGGTGGTGCTGTGGTTCAACCAACGCACTATGAACCCAGTTACCTGGGTTCGATTCCTGGCCACAGCTCACATCAGTGGCGAGTGGCATCAACCATTGTTATGGGACACCTCTAGGCCAACTCTGCCCTAAATGAGTAACTGGCGTGGTGTGTAAACATCAGCAATGGAGAGATAAAAGGCGGCAGGGCCGAGTGCTGGCCACATACATTCACCTTGTGCATTGTGCCGGCCTTGATAGGTGCTCGCTAAGAGCACTTGCCCCGACAGTCTGTAAAAGGCTATTTGGAGGATCTTGATATATATATTTTTATATATCTATGTGTGTGTAGGTCAACGTGTGTACGTCTTGTAAGGGAGGAAACTTGAGCTGTCCTCCCTGTGCTCGGACATTGAGAGCACTAGGAAAGGTACATTTGACTTACAGCCTGTCACAACTCAATGATGCCTGATTACCACTCAAAGCACATCGTCTAAATGATGTGAGGCTACGTTGTCAACAGAGGGCATTGTTGAACTCTACTTCTACGCTCCCATATCTGTGTTGCACTGACCATGGTGGTGAAGTATGGTCAAATAAGCCAATGACGCACGGGCACACGGAGGCCCTCATCCAGCGGTGGATTGATCATGATCAAGCGGCCGTTCGTGCACAATCACTCAAGCGAGAGTGGCACGGAGCTTATCTTCGGCGGCGACCCCGCACACATGGTGGAGGAAATTCCACATTACTATGACGGGTCCCAAGTCAGCGCCGCAAGACAATAAATCATCCTAATCTCCACACAAAGCGGGTACGGTACTCGTAAGCAAAGCAATAACGAGCGCTCCGCCAACATAAACAAGTCCGTCCGTCCGTACAATGGGTGGTCGGGTGACACCACGGGAACATCGTGTGTGGGTGCGTGCGTGCCTGCGTGCACGTGGTACTCATTTTAGTAACCTCAGAGGGGCGATAGGCTGGGTCGACCCTGCCTGTCTGCCTGCCACCCCCCCTCGCCATCCATATCAAGATTTCATCTCGTCAACCTTCCGATAGCAAAAGCCGTCAGCAGCAGCGAACGCCAAGCGCGCTCTCCCACACTTGGGTCCGTGCGCAGACGTTCCCCCTCTCCCTCTCGCACGCACGCACGCACCGGGAATTCTGCGTTAAAATTAGACACGCGTGTAATGCTTCACGGAATGTGCGGAGGGTCTGAGGGTGAGGAAGGGCGGAGGGTAGTGAGGGGTAGTTGGGGTGCCGTGGGGGGAGGGGGTGATGGAGGAGGTGGGTGGGGGGCGTTCGAAAACGTACCGACGTGGATGGGAGCCGGGAGGAGACCATGGTCGTTGTCGCCGGCTGAGCAATCGGCCGCCCTGTAGCTGCCGGGCTCGCTGGGCCTGCACGCACGGCAACAACAACAACAACAGCCACCACCGTTGACCAACAAGTTACGGTGGCGTCACCACGGCACTTGTGCCAGGCTAAGTGCACTCTGAGGCTATCACGTGAAGTGTCGAAGGCTGGCTGGCAGGAGGCCATGGAACAGACCACCGGGTGCCATGGGTTGACTGACTCCAGGATGAATAAAGATGCTGATTCTGATTCTGACTGGCAGACACGCCAACTGAGCTTCCCATCGCACGCTGAGAGACACGTGTACAGGACACACACAGTATCTGTGATACACGTGGACTTACGGACGGACGTACATATACACCCACATGCGCAGAACGTGTGGAGACAAAATACATTGATAATTGTTTTTTTACCCTTCTATCTGGCAACAAAACTGACACCTTTTTTACAAGGAGTCATGTTTGCATAGACCACAATACCTGCAGTCATAATGCAAACAAAATACATAACTCTGATAATGTGCACTGTCCTTGAAGTTGATTGGTCCACACCCGAGACAGCTTTCCTTAGAGCCTAGTCTCACATGGGTTGGACCAGAAGACGCCAAAAGGCGCAAAAGACATATTGTTATTGTTTTCAGGCTGTTGAGGCAAATGCTGTTAGCGAGCACCTATGAGGCCTGGCATTGCACACGAGGAGGTGGGTGGCTACCACCATGTCCTACCACCTTTGTCTCCCCCACAGCTGATGTTTATGACACGATGCACTGGGTACTCATTTAAGGCTGAGTCGATTTAGGGGAGTTGCAGGAGAAGCTGGGATATGTGCCACAGGTATTGAACTCGATTCGCCGGGTTTGATGTGCATTGCGCGAACCATTACACAAGCGCTCCCAATTATATACACTACTCGTACAACAACAGCAATCTGGCGGTGAGATCATCATGGTGCTTGTGCAAGGCTAGGTGCACCTTGAGGCTAAGTGAACTGTTGAAGGCTAGCTGGCAGGAGATAATGGAACAGACCCAGGTAACATGGGTTGACTCTACTCAGATGCACCAGCTGTGCTTCCTAAAGTGCCAACTTGCTGCTTTTTAGTCGCCCGGCGCTCCACTCGTTGTTGTGAGCATCGCTCATCCACCCCCTGCTGTTGCTGGAGGGTAACTGCTTCGAACTACCCATTAACGTCCTTCGTGAGCCTCTTTCACAGAGGCCGATCTTGACACCGGGAAGTCCAATCAGTTCCACATCCTACTGTACTTCATCAGTCCATCTCTCCTCTGCCCCATGCCATTCCCATTTATCCCCTTCTTTCCATCCAAACAGAAGCTACCTGGGCATGAGGTGGCTGGGTATGCGGTCTACATGACCCAGCCAATGCAGCCTTGCCTGCCAGAGAAGCTCACTGATGGGACTGTGTCCAGATCTTTCAAGGATTTGTGTGCTCCTCACACAATCCAATCTGGTTAACCTGGGACAGATTGTAGACTGGCCAGCCTGAATGTTTCAAATTGATGCAGATGTTCCTTTAAAGGGCTCCAAGTTAGAGAAGGGAGGTCATAACTGTGGCCGAGAAGACCCAGGAGCTTACCCACAAGCACACACACAAGAGACAAAGATCCCCCGTATAGCCTTACAGACTTTTGGGGAAAGTCCTCTTAGCGAGCACCTATGAAGGCCAGAATATGAGGGGGTTGGTGGCTAGCACCACGCCCGGCCGCCTTTGTCTCGAGTGGCAAAGTTTTTACATATCGCACAAAGAACTCATTTGAAGCTGAGTCGACCTAGGGGAGGCCCAGGACCGGTTCAGATCATCGTCACTGGTGTTGGCCGTGAGCGGGAATCGAACCCGGATCGCCGGGTTCATAGCGCAGCGCGCTAAGCGCTACACTACCGCTCCCCAGCACCACACACACACACCACACTGAGTGCCTGTTAGGCAAAGAGCAGAGCAGACTTTCCATGACCCAAACAAAACATTTACATTAAACAGCTGTGACCTTTTGTTTTGCTGTTTCCTTAACCCCCGCATAAAATAATAAGAACTGCATTATTCTGACACACACACACGCTTAAAATGTGTACATCAATAATATATGGGGGCCGCTGAAATTCACAATGGAGAGAACGGGACACGTTAGGAAACTGTTCAGAAGTTGAAACAGCTCGAGGGCCTATCGTCGCTTGCCAACATTTGCGGGACGAACCCAACGCGCGGCCTCCACTCACTTCGCATCTGAGGTTGCGTCATGTAACTTGACAGCTTAACACGCACTCTGCGCACGCACGAACACGCACGAGCACGCACGCACACGCGCGACCGAGCCGACGTTGCAACCACTTCACTAATTAAAGTTAAGATGGTACGGAGAGGCAAAAAAAAACCCACGACATGTCAACCGGTTTGCCTTTGAACTTCCTCGGGTGTGCATTTAAGCACGGGTGGGAGAAGGATCTGGAGGAGCAAACGGGCTGGGGCATTAATTACAGGGTGCCATTCACGTGTCAAAACCAACACTACTTTCTTTTTAGGACTCGCTCACCCACGACCGGGGCACCCTCGGGGAAAAATAAGATGACAGCCATAACTGCTCTGCCGCCACCACCACCGCCTCCGCCACTGCCTCCGCCGCCACGGCCGCAATTTACGGCAATTACGGCGGCAGAGAGCGCTGGCGAAGGGAAGGGGGGGGGCTTCTCCCACATCGTGGGGGGCAAAGGGATGGCCACTGCTGGCACCGCCGCTGCCGTGGCCACCGCCGCACTCTGCCGTGCCACTTTGACTCTCGCAGCAAGAGGTCAAATGTCTTTGAATCCAAAATCATGACTTCAAAAATTGCCTGTAGCTATGACTTTTTTTGTGGGTGTCGGGATGGGGGTGGGGGGCAAAACCCGCTGTGTTTGTGAATCGCCTTCCAAGCGTCATTGCGGTGGCCTTGCCGTGGTGTATTTGACCGCTGTTAAATAATACGAAGGCCTTTCCAACAGCTTTGAGCCTTTCCATTGACGCTTTGGTGTCCCATTCAATGGGACACCAAAATAACCTTTTCTCGTGCTTAATAATTCGTGCATGAGAGGGTACATTTTTGTCTTACTTCATAAACTACTACGGGGGTTCACCAGTGCCTGCCATAGGTGAACATCAGGGCCCTCAAGTTTGAGACGTAATTTTGAGATGTAACGAAAGTTCATATCTCTCTGGCCCAGGGTCTCCGCAGCCCCATCATCCTCCTGGGAGCTGGTAACATGAGCACCACCTGGTGAGGCTGCATCTCGTGATGAGAAGCCAATGGGGGGGGGGGGATTGTTCCATGGATTCGTTTTTCCCCCCCATCCCCACCCCCTCCCCCCACCCACTTGAATGTGGAATTTCCACCCATGGCTCAGCATCGCAAATGGAGATGAGCACACCGACTGTTCATGAGAGCAGGTGTACACCGACTGTTTAGCTTGGACATTCTCTACATAATTAATGTTATATAAATAGTACATTTTGGGGAGGGTGCTGGCGGGAGGGCGGGTGGTGGAGTGCTGCTGGTGTTTGCACCCTTCCTATGAACCCGATGGCCTGAGTTGGAATCCTGCCCGTGGCGAGCGACAGTGGCGAGTGACCTCTGAACCCGTCCAGGCCCTTTCCCGTTCACCAACTGGCACTGACCCGCGCGGCGAGGGGGCACGGCCAAGCGACCCCCACGACTGAGACAGCGCGGAGAGGACTGCATTGGCAAGATGTCAATCGGCAGTGGATTGACCAATAGATTATTTATCTTTACCTATAGCCTTTTGTAAAAAATAAAAATTAGTTTCATTTTGTGACATCTGGGGATGGATAAGCAAGAGTGTATGGAAGCGTCTGCTTATATACAAACAGTGATGATTAACCTACCTAAACAAAAAACAACATAGGTCACCTGTTTAACTGTACAAAATGTTGGGGCAAGTGCTGTTGGAGAGCACCTAATTCGGGCTGGCACGGTGTATGAGGGGGATGTTGCCAGTACCACACCTTGCCACTTTTGTCTCCGCAGTGTTGATGTTTACAAACTGCACCAGTCACGAATATTAAGGCAGAGCCAGTGTAGAGGAGGCCCAGGGTAGGTTGAGGTCTCACCTGTCACTGGTGTTAGCCGTAACTGGGAATCAACTCAGGTGGCCAGGTGTTGAAGGGCAGTGTTTCTAACCACTGGACCAATCTTCCCACATTAACACGAGTATGCAGGCACATACAAAGCTCTCCCATATGGCCTTTAACAGGCTGTGTGTGCAAGTGCTGTTAGTGAGGACCAATGAAGGTTAGTACGGCACACGAGGGGGTGGGTGGCCAGCACCATACCTGGTGGCCTTTGTATCCCTAATACTGATATTGACACACTGCATTTAAGGCTGAGTCGACCGAGGGCCTTACCTGGTACAATAGAAAATAGTTTACAGTTTTAGTTTGTATAGAGGAGGCCCAGGACGCCACTGTTATTGGTTGTGAGCAGGAATTGAATTCGGTTGTCTGGCTTCGTAGCGCCGTGCGCTAAACACTATCTCACTGCTCACATACGCAGGCACACACACATTTACTTGCAGGTAACACGCACAAAGACAAATTTCCCCCGTATAGCCGGAACAGACTGTTGGGGCAAGTGCTGTTAGCGAGCACCTACGAAAGCTGGCATGGCACACGAGGGAGTGCGTGGCCAGCACCAAGCCCAGCCGCCTTTGTCTCCCCAGTGGTGATGTTTACACACCGCACCAGATACTCATTTGAGGCTGAGTCGACCTAGGGGAGGCCCAGGACTGGTTCAGACAACTGTCACTGGTTGTTGCTGGCCGTGAGAGGGAATCGAACTCAGGACGCCAGCTTCGTAGCGCAGCGCACTAACCGCTCCACTACCGCTCCCCACTACGCACGCACACATACACAGGCACGCACCAAAAACGGCGGGATAGAGGAGGCTTCTCCCTCACGCTCCAACACCGCTGACAATTCAATTAGGGATCCCCGCTGTGGCATGTGGACTTGTAGGAGTGCCCCCCCCCCATTCGCAATTGTGCTTTTCACAGAGCGGTCCCCGCTAAAGGAAATTCCTGCGGAGATGGCTTTCAAGAGGCCCGCATAAAAGAGTTGGGGCCCTTTGGCTTGGGGCCACTGGGCCCTCAGCGTCGTCGAGATAAGGTTTCCCAAACAAGGGTCTCATTTGGCTCCGAGCCGGGCGCTGAGCCAAGCCTGTCACTCACAATTCTCTTTTAGTTCTCGCTCACTCTCTCGTGCTCTCGCTGCTCTCTTGCTCTCTCTCTCTTGCCATCATTTTCTCCAGTTTTAATAATAACTCTAAGGTTTGTTTAACGGGGTTCTGGCTGGAAGGCTTAAACAATTAACCGTGAGGAATGTATTTTTTCTTCACCACCGCAGAGATCGTTGTATGGGCTCCGAGAACGGGTACGGGATGTTTTTTTCACTTCACGCGTGCCTCACGCTGTCTGACGGTGGCCTAATCGTGAACGCGCGCTCGGGTTTTTTTTTTTTGCCGAGAGGCAATGACTTTATTCGAGCTATTCGGAAATCGCTCAAGCGATTGTGTTGCCTACACGAGGAACACAGTGGCAGTTTACCGTGACAAGATCCTCCAAAGTTTTCGCAAAGCTTCGGCACCTGCCAAACTCTGATCAAAGTCACGGCAGCCCCAAGCGCGCCTCGTTTCCACGAGTAGAGACGCGTGCGGTGAGCTCACGTGGTCTGCACCCCCTCCTTGTCACTCGATTAATTGTTGAGATTCGTGGAAGTGATTTTTATTCAGGAATAAATGTATTTTTTTTACTGTGGTGAATGTAGCGGTCTCGAGTGGCTGGATGGGTCATGTTAACAAATTGCATACAACGTATACAAATTGAAAGTCATCGACGCTCATGCATGCTATTCGATGGATGCATCGTGTGCTTGAGAAGCAGTATTGATCAATAAATGTCTGCGTTGTTATGCTCCTGTTCAATGTTGTTTTCGACTTCAACGAGCACGCACTGTTCAAGTAAAAAAAAAACGTCGATTAAAAAATTACATTCTGCGGGTAGGAAGCTTTTCAATAACGTTTACATTGTACTTAAAATAATTACGCTCCACAGAATTTGAAAACAACCCTTTGCCGAACGTCAACATGCTGGGTAGCTCATCAAAGGCCAGCACGTTTGAGCGGAGCTGCGTTTTCTGTGTGGCGGCGATGACTGCGACTGCTGCGACGACGACGGGGGAAGAGTGTCAGCAAATCCCACGCTTAAACAAACAACGTTCACGCAACCCCTGCGAGCATGCGCCCCCGCGACTTCCCTGCCTGCCAGCCACCCACGCGCATACCCCCCCCCCCCCCTAAACTGCACGGGTTAACCCACTTGGTTTGAGGAATTCTGGATGCTTCTAGGGGTCGTGTGAGGCCTTGCAGATCCACATTCTTTCCCAGGCGGCCACTTTGCCATCCCGCATCGCATTAGGACAAAGATTCAGGATTTGTGCTTGGCTTCAATTCCTTGTGCATGTCTCCGGTTCGCTCTCTCGCTCTCTCGTGCGCTCGCTCGCTCACGCCCTTTACTTGAGCGACGGCAAAGGCAAATGCGCGCGGTAATTGCGAGGCAATGAAGGGCGAAGCTGTGGACGTGTAGACCCATTAAGTACTGAAGGCTTAATGCCTTCAAATACCTTGGAGGCGGCACGCTGATGAAAGGAAGCGCTGAGCTAATTGTGAGATCAGTCTGAAATGAGGCCCACACCATTACACAAATTCGACAAACCACTTAAAAATCGTTTGATCACGCGACTTGGAGGATTTCTAGAAATTAAATCCCAAATCGAAGATGCGAGGATTCCCCCCACCCCACCTCCTCCTCCTCCTCCTCCGCCGCTGCTTTGATTCACGCCGAGAAAAACTTGAAAGTAACGAGCAGTCAATTAAAATTCTGCGCGATCGCGACATTAGTTAGTGAAATGATTTTAAATGTGCACAATTGGGCATTTGAAGTTTTCTCGTGCAAAATTGCGGTTATCTGCCCGCGTGAACTTTTGTTGTTGCTTAAATGGAAGAGCTTTCCGTGATGCTTCACAGAGTTCCTTTAAATATATGAAGCGAGAATAAAAACGTGTTGCGAAGCAGAAGGGATAATGTGCATTTATAAATATACATGTGAAAATCGCAATCAATGGCGTTGGCGGAGGTGCACAAGCATAAATAAAACAAAAAGACTCACACACATTTGATTAACGCTGCCTCGCAGGCCATCCAATACACGTGAGTACAGTAAAAGTGTGAGTGACGAATGCGGTGAGGTTTTTTGTTTAAATCCGAACATAATTTGTAGGCATGTAACAATGATACCCCACCTCAATCCCTCTACAATTCAACTGTCGCGATTTACGCGGTCAATTGTACGCAAGTTATTTCAAAGCACAAAAAACCCCATCAAAAGCAACAATCGCTTTGAATCTAAGACTCAACAATTTATTAACATCGCGGAGCCTGAAACCGAGCAATCACCCTAACACGGGAAGAAAAACAAGCACCAGACAATCATCTGACACTTACGTATCCTGCTTGTAAACGTCAGAGTAGAGACCCGCGGTTTGGTATCTCTTCTTCGCGAGTCGTGGCCCCCTCCGGCCCTGGCCATCTTCGGCCATGGTTAGGTCCAGCAGAGGCGGGGAGGCCGGGCTGCTGGGCAGCTGCTGCAATGGCTCCTCGCTCGTCTCGAAGCCACCGGCGCCAGCTCCTCGCTCCGCACTCTCTCCATCACCGCCACCACCGCTGCTGCCATCGCCATCCCCGCCGCCGCCAGCCGTCACGTCTATCTGCTTGTCTTTCCCGTCCAAGCTGCTCCGGGAACGAGAGGACGGGGTGGGAGGAGGTGGACATAAGGGACGAGGAAAGTTGTGTGACCGTCACACAGATGTCGTTTGACCATCGGAGGGCTCGGTGGAATGAACTTGATGCCTTTCCAAGCGCGAGTACGAAGGGAAAACTCGGTTGAGTCCTCGCGTGTTCGAATGAGCCTGGGAAAAAAAACAACTAAAATCTAAGGTTTGAATGTATTTTCGTAGGTGTTAATGTTTCCATTGCTTTTGTGTGATCTTTTAGGCTTATAATCAAATTACCACTGGGCATTTAATGACGCACCAAATTCACCAATGAAAATCAATGCATGCATAGAATTGTTGCATTTGAGAATGGATTATTTCTTAATTCGTAGATGCTGTGGTATAAGTGGTTCTCGTAACTACTCGAGACGCTACATTCACCACAATTGCAAAGAAAAGGATTGATTATTATTGAATCTGGATTGCACTCATTGAATCGTGACATTTAATCGAACCAACGGGTGGCGGGCAAATGGAGAATCACTAAACGCCTCATGATATAACGAGGTATTAATGCTTTTCCCCTCACAAATCTTGGGGGTTTAATGTGAAATAATTGTGGGGCAGTGGTGGCACAATCATCCGGGCACTGCAGTGCAGTGGCGGCTCCTGCAAAATCTCTCAGGGGGGGCAAATGTCTGGATGATTGATAAGGATAAGGTCCACCCATGCAATGGATAAATTAACAGCTTAAGCATGTAAAGGCAACTTCACTTCTTTAATATTAATGAAAAATAAAGTGACTCTTACAATACATCTTATTTGTTTCTATACTCACTATTAATACAATCCACTCAAGTTTCTTATATTAAAGATTCCACTAGGTGGTGACAAATTATATTGTTGGATGAAACGTGCTTACGTATGATGACGTAAGCACGTTAGGGCGAGCCCTCCTGGAAGCCATAGAGAATGCATTGCAGCACCCCCCGGTCGAAAAAAAACATCTTTGAATGTAAGTCTATGGGGCCACTCGGGGCGATTCTCAGCCGGAGTGAAATCGCCCAAAAAGAGGCGGTACTCCACAAAACGTGACATGACGCTGATTGGACTATATCCAAAGGCACAGTGACGGCTAGCGTGACTCTGTGGTTGAATGACATTGGTGGTGCGTCGCCCATTCGCCCTAATGAAGAAACCGCCCCTGCTGCAGTGAAACGTATGTATATATGTACGTTTAAATTAGTTCGCAGCGTACGTAGCCAACCGTGCTAATCGGAGGTCAGTGTACACAGTGACTTGGGTTTGATTCTTGGCCAAAGCGAACTAATCATTGCCGAGTGACGTCTGAACAAGTCCTGGATTACCCCCTTCGCCAAACCACATTGATAGACGTGGTGAAGTATGCTCAACGACCCCGTCCCCCCTACCCCTCTATTGCTAACATGGCATGAGGAGGCTTTTATCCAATGGAATTAAAAAGGATTGCCAACAATTTATATATATATAATGTAACACTAAACCTTCTACTCTTACAAACCATACGGGTGAATAAAGTTCTAACAATAAGTAAGAATTATTCACAAATGTAAAGCGATTTCCCGCTACTGTTGCCGTACTTTGCCTGAGGCCACATGGCATGGCAGGTACGCCAACTGGTACCGGCTAAAGATCGGCCAAGAACGAGGAGGGAGAGGCTTGAGCCAAAGACCCGCCATTTGGCAGGGGACTAAAGGAGCACCGTAGCAGCCAGCGGCCAGTAATGGCCACCGAGAATTTCACTCTTCCAACAAAAACTATTTTCAAAAGATGCCACAGCACAAAAGTGGACGGAACCCCTGCGTCAGCAACGTCTACCTCGGCGCGGCCCGAATAAAACGTACGTCTGAAATTTCTCAGCGCTTATTAAACCCGCCAAGAAGCAAATATTGCCCCGTATTTCTTTACAAAAACAAAACATTTGTTCGCATATTTTTTCTTAACGTTTGAACATTCGATACCATTTTGTTTCAAATGCCACACCAAAAGGCCGACTCAAGCCTCCCAGTTGCTGACATGTGGAATAAGCCTCCTTCATACCCACGGTGATTATACTGGCAGCATATCGCACCACCGCGGCTGCCACCAGCTCCCTTGCAAGTGCTGGAAACCTGAAATAAACTGTGCGGTGTCCCACTTAATCCCTTCCCCCCCCGCCCCCCCGATGGGGGAGTAATCCCACATCCTCCGCAAATTTGTGCGCGGATCTGTGTGCGTGCACGTGTCACTCTCCCTCTCTCTTTCTCCCTCCTCGGAAAGCCGCATTGAGTCAGCGAGCCAGAAACAGTGAGCGAGTCTACAGACAGCCACGGCCACCAGTCTCGAACTCCCTCAAGGGACGCCGTGGTGGCGATATGTTAACTCTCTTGCATAGTATTCAGGAGGTCGTGGATTTGATCCCGACCCTGACACCTGTATATTTTGAGTTTGCATGTTCTCCCTGTGGTGGCGTGGATTTCCACATGATAAGCCACTTTGTTGCCCTATCACTTGTGGCCAGGTCGTTTATGTAAAAGAGCTATATGGCTCAGTGGGCCTTATCTGGTAAAAAATAAAAAAAAACTCTGTAAAGACGATTTCCCACTCGGGATTCAATGAATTGTTATGATACAGAGATGTGATCCGCCTCATGAATCGATTTTCTTTCATAAACATAGTGGTAAATCGCAGCACCTCTCGTGAATGCACGGCTCAAGCTAACTAATAGCGCGGAACAAACGCGCTCTTTAACACGCGCAATTCCATTCGCGTATCGTGAGCTACAGCATCAACCCTTCGAGTGCCGTGTGGGATCCACACACCAGGAGGTGGTTTGCTTCGCCACACGCATAGCCTGCGACATTTAACAGTTTCCAAAACAGACTTTGTTTCTTCTTTAGAGGCCACCGCTGGCATCGTGTGATGTGATTTACATGCCATTTTTGTTCAGGAGTTTCCTGCTTATAACTGTCTGTGATTGGATAGAATTCATCACGTAAATCTGCTTTAAATTTGAAAATGTTTTTAATGTCTCATAAATGCATTAATTGACGGAATACATATGAATTATTTTTTTGTTTGTTATATATACCCGATTCATAAGTAGACTACTTTTTTTTGGAATGGCATGTACTTTATTAGCCATATATAAATTTCCAAACCCATCCTATTTGAATGAACGGCATGCATTTTTGAATAAACAATTTTATTTGAAATTCACCAATTGCCCAAAAACTTCTAAACTAAAATCCAACCTAACTAAATTATATAAAATTATAGTTCATAGTTTTTTTTCTCTAAGGTAAATGTCTATGTGGACGCAAATGTAGGATGGATGACAACAGCAAGATTAAACGTGTGTTGTTCGGAAAAAAACGGAAGGAACAGAAAGGAAGACCTCACAGATAATGGCTTGATGATGACATTATGAGAGATTGGTGCTGGAAAAATGTGGCACTACTTGAGGTAAGTGGAAATAAATGGTGGTGGGTTTAACGATGCATTTATATTTACACAATGTAACCCAACAAACCTGTATTATGGATGATATTGGTCGCGGAAGCGTTTGTGTTTAACTAAATGACGAAAGGATGCAGTGGACACCTACGGGGCTATCTGCTCATGGATCGTGATGATGAAATTCCCCGGATCTTACTTTCAAAAGTGGTGTCGTGTCTCGGTAGGCCATCACCTGCTTCGGAACAAGGGGACCATTTACTGTGCTGTGAATTATAATATTGCACGCGGGTGGTGACGATGTGCGTACTGCGCCGTGAACCCCGGCGACCCGAGGTCGATTGCCGACCACGGCTGACATCAGCGGCGAGCGGTGTCTGACCCGGTCCTGGGCAACCCCCCACCCACAGTTCACCAACCCGCACTTACCAGCGTGGGTGAAGTATGGTCACATAAACAACCCCCATGGTTGACGCGGGGTGGGGAGGTCTTCATGCAGCAGTGGATTGACAAGCGGGAGGTAGATGATTCGTTCTATGATCGTCGTCGTTATATTGTGGACGTTCAACATCGATCCATGCATGCGTACGTACGAGTGGAGAAGGACTCGGTGGCTTTGGCATAGTGCGAGGGGTGGTGATACAGGAGGGGCCGGCGTTTGTGCGAGGGAGTGCGCACACTCCCTGCGTAAATCAATCCGCGGGAGTGAGCGATGTGGAGCAATCGCAACCCCTAAAGGTCCAAATCGCTCGTCCTCCCACGCCATTCGTACTGCTCTGGCAACGATCGCAGCTTTCAGCGTTCCACGAGGCTGGTCACGTAACGTGAGCGCAAGTGGCTGCAGCCAAGGCCTCTCCGGAATGGAGTTGAATATAAAAGCCTCTGCCGATTTTTCCATTTGACACGTAACAACGACGAATCAATTCACTGAAGTCGAATCTCGCGTAAATCTAGGTGGAAAACTCATTTCTTCAGAACTGCTTTTTGTGTTTAGTTTGTTGTCCTTCCCCCGCACCTCTGACTAGCACGGTTGGGTACGTGCGGTGCGAAAGAAGTTCAACATAGTATATACATACGTAAATGACGCTATCGTCAAACTGCACGCGAAGGAATCAATGATGTAAGATTTATGCAAATAATACCCAAATGTTACGTTTAATGCCACGGTGCGGGAGGCCTTCATCCAGCAGTGGATTGACGTGGGACTGTGCATTATTATTTCAATTATATTTCAGAGGTTATCTTGATTTAAACCCCCCAAAAACTTGCATTGTCTCCATCCCTCACTTTCCCCCGAGGGCATGAACCGTAGCAAAACGATCGATGCATATTTTATTTATTTATATGATATGTACGCAATTTAAAACGGCAATATTCAAAATTAAATTAAAACCTTAAACGAAACGGACCTTCAAACCGCATTTTAGCGCGCGCATCGATTTGCCCTTCACCACTCAGGCTTTACTGCCACGCAAAACTATTACAGTCATATTTAAGGAGCGATAATGTTGGGGATTGCCGCGGTAAGCGATGCGGGTGGCCGTTTAAGCATTCAAAATCAATATTTATACCCAGGAAACCCTACTCCCTGCGCCGAATCCACACAATGCCTCAGCTGATGACGTTTCAGTGGCGATGCACGCTGGCGACGGTACTGCTCTCGGCGGGCGGCGCCACGCGCAGGCGCCTCGATGGTAAAAGATGCAAAGGTGCAGCCCTGTGACCTCCTTGCTCGCTCCGCTGCTGGAGGAAGGGGCCTATACGCTCCTCCAGAGTATATTTTGCCAGCTCTTCTTCCACGCCGGCCAGACATCCCGGAAGAGGTAGGAATATCCCCATTTTACCCCGCCGCAGGTCGCACGCCGATCGACTTGCCGTTGTGAACCCGTGTGTACCACCTGCTGCCGTGTGGGCCGGAGGCGGCGTCCGAAACTCGGCCCCCAATTTTTCAACTGCCTCGCCAGGAGTTTGGATATAAACGGCAACCCTCCGGATCGCAAAGCCCCGTGTGCTAATGGTTACGTCGCACGGTTATCCCCCTCGTGGCAAGACTCTCCCAAATTAGACGTCACATTAAAAAGCCACCGAGACCGCGATTAAAGTATTGCTTTACGCTGATGAATGCCTGCCTCAGACTGTAAACGTTGTCGGGGTTTATGTTGATTGTGTAACCGCGAATTGGGTGCCCGCGGATTGGGAACCTCCCGCAAGTGGGTGGACGCTGTCGTCAAATAACGAACCCGGTTTCTGTACAAAAAAAAACTAAACGCTGAAAGCTGCACATTTGTACTTGAATTTATTGAATGTTCAGCAATGTAAGCATCCACCTAATCAGACATTTGATGAATCGTCACAATTTTGGATCACGATTCAATTTGAGCATCCATTCGCTTGGTGTCGATTTTACCATTTGCATCGTTTCTCTTTGTTTTTTGTAAGTCACGAACTCGGGGTCAACCATTCGATTACAAACATCGATTCTATGTCGTCTCGTTTTTGCCACCTTCTTCTCAATTTTCCTGTTTCGTTTACGCAGCTGTGCTCTCTCAATGAGCCTAAACGTAACATTGGGACGTAATTTACAAATAGCTGGCATGCACCGTGAGAAATCGACTTCCTCACTCGCACTTCGACCAACTGCAACTCGATTTCAATCGGCAGCGCGTGGGCGTTCCTCCGTCTTGAGTGCTCACCTGCCGTCCGCCTCCGGCTCCTTCCCCCGCGCGGGACACTTCTCCGCGACTTCCTGAGTCCACGGCCCGTGGCTCCCTTTCCTCTTCACGCCCTTCCTGTGCTCGGCGCGCTGCCTCCTGGCGCCGTGCACCACCCACTCGATGGTGTCCGTCACGGCGTCGTCGCAGCGCCCGGCCGCCGCCGCCGCCGCCCCCCCTCGCCCGGCGGCGACGCGCTGGGAGCCCACACAATCCACCGCGGCCGCTGCCGTCGTTGCGGCTGCAGCGGCGGCGGCAGCGGCGTGACGCGTGCGCCCCGTCGCCGGTGGCGACGGCGACAGGCGCTTGCGTGGGCGCCCGGGCCGCCGCTTGACCACGTTGTTGCCGGTGAGCGAGGCCCGTTGCAGCTTCTTGACGCGCAGGATCCTGTTGAGGTGGTCCAGGCTGCGCTTGGTCGACAGGATTTTGGTGAAGTCGCAGTGGCTTCTCTCCGGTCGCTGGGCCCCGCTGCTGGCGCTGCCCAGGTGCCCTCCGCACCGGGCCCTGCCCGAAAAGTCGTCGTTGTCGTCCTGTGCTTCTCGTCCTGCTGACAAACGGAAACAGAGCGAAGGGAACGTCAGGAATGATCAGAGTAAAGATGCACACAGAAGGCGATTTATAGACAGGAGAGGGGGCACGATTGTGACCGCAGTGTTATCTATCAGTCCTCCCATCGTTCCTTGCAATTCACCGTACCGCATGTGCAATGCACACAGACTTTTAATTGGAAGGAAGCTTCGAACCAATGCCCACACAGATCCCGGTTGTGCACATGAGACACTCGCGGTTCGAGCGCCAGACCCGGTGTGATGTCTATCGGGGGGGGGGGGGGGAGATGACACAGCCCTTCATCCCCTCCAGGGTCAACAAAATGAGTGCCACTTCATGGGGTGCCAAAAGTGGTTGTCCTGTGGATTAATCTGCCCCTGCCACGGGAATGTGGAACTTACACCACTGGCTCGAGAGATGAGGAACTCTTTTACGAAGGTGGATGGACACACTGGACTGCAATGGTGGGGGGGGGGGGGGGGGGGGGCATCCATTAGTGGATCGATAAAAGGGCTGTGCATAAACATCGATAGACGCTATGCAGGCTGATATTGATCATTTCAAATAGGATTTGTTATTGTCTGGGTAGACAAAGAAAGATCCCTTCCCCCCGTATAGCCTGAACAGACTTTTGGGGCAAAGGTTGTTAGCGAGCAGCTATGAAGGCTGGCACAGCATGCGAGGAGGTGGGTGGTAAGCATCACGCCCGGCCGTCTTTGTCTCCCCAGTACTGAGGTTTCCACACCACACCTTCTACTCAGTTACGGCTGAGTCGACCTAGAGGAGGCCCAGGACCGGTTCAGATAATCATCACTGGTGTTGGCCGCGAGAGGGAATCGAACTTGGGTCGCCGGGTTCGTAGCGAAGTGTGCTAATCCCTCCACTGCCGCTGCTTAGGTAGACCGCACGCACACACACGGTTACAGAACTTGGCTGAAATCCGTGTCCCGATTTATGAAAGTTACCCCGCGCACGTCACTGCCGTCAAGTTACACGGTGTTCCATACGAATGGAATGCAACAAAAAATAAACAAAATAAGTGCAGGAGGCACGGGAAGGGGGAAACGCCGCGAGCCACGGATTTTTGGCAGCGGCGATGGAAACTGGAGGTGTAATGACGCATCAATTTGTCAATTAAAATCGATTCTTGAACTCTGGATTCATTAATATCCTCGCGTGCGAGAGAATGAACATTTGCAATTTGTATACGCGTGGTAATTTGTACGTGTGCGGTAAGGGGTTCACGTGAACTCTGCAGCCAGTAGCGATCGCTACCTTCTGCAAACGTTTTTTGTTTAAAATTCTCTGGGGTTGGAAGGGGGGGAGAAGTGAATATTTAGTTTTTCATACTGAACATAGTGAACATGCTCCAGGTGGCAGAGCTGATATTTTTCCAGTCTGGGTTTTTCCAGTCAAATATTTTCTCCAGCAATCACAAGCTCGTGCACGCGTTATTTCCTCTCTTGTGTTCACACAAAAGACAGCGTGCACCCTTGCATTGTTGAATTGGCCGCTAAAATCACCTCCCACGGTAGGGATGTTCACAGGGCCACAGTGCCAATTGGCGTCGCTCGCCCCGACGCCACGCTTGTAATGAGGGATTACAATTATTAACTTATTTATTATAATTATTGCTTCCTAAACTTGTGTTGAATCATTGGTAAAATAATATATTATTGAGATTTATTTTAGATTTTAAAAATGGCACTGTCGATGCGATAGATGCACACTGCTAAAACGTTACACGCATCACAATGGAAAAGAAAGTACCACCGCGAATCGTGACCTCGAATCACCGTAATTCATCCATTGCTCGAGGAAGGGAGGTAAATCGTTACATTCATACGTGTACCCCCCCCCCAAAACATTACGAAACGTTCATATTACCGATATCTGACAAATTATTCAACAGCGGCATTACAACATAATTGAAGCCTTGTGCGCGCACATTAAGCACCGCATTTGTCTGCGCCCCACGGACTTGGCACGACAGCCGGTGCCGCTTTCACGCCAAGGGCGACCGCGCCCATTGGTCGCGAAGCGCGAAATATTAAATGGACTCTCGCTCCGGTGGGAATGGTGGCCTAACAGCAGTGGTCGTGTGTCCCACATTTGGCCAGAGGAGGAGGGTGGGCGGTGTGGGTGGACGGTGTGAGGTGGTGTGTGTAGGGCAGTGCCGCATTATCCTAGTAGCAAAAGTAGCTACATATGTAGCTACGGGCCTCGCACTTTCAAGGGCCCCGCACTAAATGCTTTCGAGCTATCAATTCCGATTCAGGAATTCTGCACTTGCTCTATTACTATAGTACTATACTGCCTTCAGCTTTTATGAAAGGTTAGCGATTTGTCGTATTATCTGGCTGTATGGCAAATAAAAAAAATACAATTACTTTACTATGCAAGTTAAAAATGTATGTGTTTTAATATTTGTGTTTTTATTTTATTTAGGGCCCCTTTATAACGTATGCTACAGGCCCCGCACTAGCTTCATCTGGCAGTGGTGTAGGGGGTGGGGATCGGCGACCTGAGTTCGATTCCAGCTCACGGGCCAACACCGGTGATGATTATCTGCACCGGTCCTGGGGCTCATCTTAGGTCGACTCAGCCTCCAATGAGCGCCTGGTGTGGTGTGTAAACACCGCCACTGGGGGGGGAGACAAAGGTAGCCAGCCGTGGTGTTGGCACACCTGTCAACCCCTTATCAGTGGCTACATTATTACACACCAATTCAGACCTTATTGGTCACCCCGTGCCCAGATAAATCTCAACGTTCATCCTACAAAGTCCCATCACAAGGGAGAAACATAAACAGACAAACATTTTATTGCCCGTATTGAAACGTCTGTACGCCGTATGGACCTGAAAAGGAAATTTCCTTGTACAAGAACACGGGTTAAACCGTGTGGGTTAACAGGTATGTGTTGGCCACCCACCCCCTCATGTGCCATGGCGGCCTTCGTAGGTGCTATTCGCTAACAGCACTTGCCCCAACAGTCTGTTAAGGCTATACAGGGAATCTCTGTCTTTAAAGGGTGGGGGCAGAGGTCACACAGGGGTGAGTGATGAGAGTGACACCTGTGGGTAACTTGTTAGAGCCTCCACGGGGCAGAGGCAGGTTGGGACAGAGCATGAGTCAGATCATTAAAAAAATTAATATATAAATATATAATCACGCATGGGGATGTTAAACGCCTTGCTTTCCCAATCAGCTATGGCATTCACACTCAGGCGTAGTAATAAAAGGCTTCGGCGAGCTTGCGCAAAGGACTGGGGAATACGGGGACCGTGTGCGTGCATTCCGGTTCACAGGCACTGACCCCCAGTTCATATCGCAAACGTTACACGGCGTTAATGCCATGCAAGGTTTCGCGGTTGTGCCGTGTGTCTCTCTGTTGCCTTTGCGGGTTGCACCGCCTGCCGTCGGGCACGATGTCCAACGTTTCGCTCCACATGCTGGGAGCTCCTTCAGGAAATTAACTCTAAAAGCTTCCACGCAAGCAGAGCAGAACGTCAGACACCGCGCCCGACATCCCACGGTAGAACCCCATGACACACCAGAGGACCTCGCACAGCACTAGCCCAAGCCGACGGGCCCAAGGCGACGGGCACACCGCTGGCCAGCACTGGTCCAACTGCACAATATTATCCGGGCCGCAGAAGTCGCAAACGGGTTTTGATTCCTTACCCGTACCCGTACCCGGCCGCACCAGGGTCACAAATGGGTACCCGTACCCTACCCGAAATGAGTGACAAACGGTTACTCACCAGTGACTCACGGCCTACCCGTACCCGTACCCGGCCGCACCAGGGTCGCAAACGGGTACCCGTACCCGGCCGGGTACGGGTAGCCGGGTATCGGGTAGGGTACGGGTATCGGGTACCCGATTGCGACCTCTGCTGGGCCGTGAGTTTGTATTGTGCCTTGCATTACTTCCAAGTCTGCCTTACCAAATAATAATGATCGTGTCCTTCAGTTTCCCATGAAAGCCTCGCTGGTCAAGAGGGTCCTGCGGCGGGATGTTTGGCCGATTCCATTCTTGCGTGATTGACAAAGGAGACTCGGTGTCTGATCCCCAGGCACTCGCCTGGTCAGATAAAGGCTAATGACTAACATTAGGTCTGTCGCCCAACAGCAATGGCCTCTCAGCAGGCAGAGGGAATGATATGTATCAGCTGGTCCGGCACGTCTTAGGGTCCCAGAAACACGCTGCTGATGAGGACGACGATGATTTTAGTGGTCCCCGTTGGTGGATAAAAAAAATATATATCCCGAAAAATGTTCGCTGCAGCCACAGCTTCATGCCCAATGCAAATCATAACAAAAGGAACCTGACCCACGACGCACAGAGGCTGCCTTCGTCGCAGACTGCTAAGTGGTCCTCTCCCCCGCTAGAAATGACGGTGTAAGCAATTTTCCCGACCCACCCCCAACAGCTCCCTGCACCCCCCCGCCGCCGACTTCCAAAGCCATCCCACCAGTCTGTGCAAACTAAATAAATGAACGTACGAGCAGCAGCAGCAGCAGGAATAAATGCATGACCAGAGGGCGGAGGCGGCCCGGCGGTTGCCATTTGGGAGCCCCTCGTGCGGGGTAGGAGGGCTGAAGGCCCGGGAGCGGAGCGGCGGGATTTACGGCGCGTGTGCAAATACCGCAGGCGACGACGCCGGGGGCTCGCGGCGTGGCAAAAAAGGGGACGGCGGGAGAGGCCGGTGCCCATGCCAAGTGTGTGAAACGCATCCCGTCGCGAACGCCCGGCCAAAGCTCCGCCAAATCGACGTTGCGGCGTGTTGTGGGGGAGGGACGCGGCGCGGACCGACACGCGCAGCCTGAGACGCTTTGCAACCTCATGCCTTAAATGTTAAGAATGGCCAAGGCGGTGGTGGCGGCGCTAACCGGCACGGCGAAGTATGGTCAAACACCCCCCCAATACCAGACAAGGTATGCGGGGAAGCCTTCATCCAGCAGTGGATTGAGTAATAGCTGCAAATTATTAA